TGAAATAAGACCAACTACTGCGTATTCACAGAAGAGGTTACCTACTTGAAACCGGTAAACAGTAACTTTGCGGCTAATATGAAGAAAAGACATGTCAATTCCTTGAATTTGTACTACGAATCCATCTTACGGTCTTTCCATTTCCGTTTCCGGTAATCACTTTAGCTCCTGCTACACAGGTCACCGCTTTTCTTTTTTCCTCCAAAAAATTCATAACTTCTCAAACATTCGGATTTGTAAAAAAAAATTCAAAATTATGATCACAAATAAAAATGGGAATTTCAAAGGTAAAAGCTTTTCAACTATCTGATCATGAAAAGCGGAAAATACTCTTTTTAAGCCTTTAATTTTCTTTCGAGCGTTATATTACAGACATTTTTGAAATATTATGAATAAAAAAAGTATAAAAAATTTTTCCGGAAAATTTACATATTTAGGAAAGCTTAAAGACTTTATCTGAAATAAAGAATTTCTACTCCAAATTCACAATTTGGAATAAACACTCATTTTAACAGGTAATTTAAAGAAAAAAGTAATGTTTTAAATTACACTATTTTTAAAATGCAAATGTCGTTGAGATTTTTCCTATTAATCAATTTAAAAAAGAAAAAAAAAATTGAACAAACAATTAAAAACCATATACAACAAATAACTGCAATTAAAACAATGAAACGGATAAGAATAAATAAATAAATAAATAAAATGCAAATTAAAATTTCAGTGAGAAGGAATGCGAGAAATTTCGGTGTAAAGCCTGTCAGCAACATAAGTTTGTTCGAGAATTGAGAAAGTTGTTCATCGATTTCATCAATTTAAACCAGTTTTGTTATGGCAATGATATGGGGAAGAGTTCGTTTTCAAGTAACAATCAAATTTAATGAACAGCAACAAGTTTTCTTGTTAAATTCTTAATTATACCGTTTCAAAATGAGTTCAAATGTTGATGTAAATAGTGTTTTGTCAGATTTTATGACTTCATTTCTTAAGCAACAAATTTTTTATTTCAGAAATTGGAACAAATAATTATAGAGACGATTGTGCGCAGCAATTTTTTGTTATTTGGGAATTGAAATTTATCAAATTATTTATTCATTTGCAAAATTAATTTTATAATTTTCTCGTCAAATACATTTTTGTTTTTTCGAAAAGGAATTTAGAAAATTGTAGAAAAACTGTAATTGTACCATTAACTGATATCGATTGGAAATTTGGGCGTGATAATATTTCTTGGTGATGGATTAAAAAGGTATAATTATAAAATGATTTATGTAAATAAATGAAAGGAAAAAGGAAGGAAAGAAAGTGGTAATCAAATATCGAATTATTGATATATTTAATGATTGTTCTCTAACCACGATAAGAAATATTTAAGTTATTAAATTCCCACTGCTATTCTTTCATTTGCTAAAACTAAATTTTAGTCCTACAAATCGACCAATCAATAAGGTATCTTGAAAAATGATAAGACAGAATGATAAAATATGAAATTAATTTAGAAAATCATTTTTATCATTTAAAATTTCACCGAAATTTGTTGAAAAATTCAGAATTAGTCAGCTGTCAGAAAAAGTGTCATTGGAGGTATTGGCTTAATATTCATGTTTTTAATTCGATGTTAATTGCTGTTATAGTAAAATTAAAAGAGAGCAATGAGTTTACGGCTAATTTTCAAATTCAATCAAAAATTTTTGCAGCTTTAATTAATTTAATTTTAAATTGAAATTTCGAATTAAAATTTATCCCGATTGTTACATCGAAGTATTTATATAAATACGGATAAACATTGTTGTTTTCATGGTTCATTTCATTATTTCATTCATTAAATTAAAATCCAATATTTAACTTATTTATTCTTGTTTTTAATGTTTCATAGTTACATTGTAAGTGATTAGCATTACTTATCATAGCTAATCATAATTAAGTTCATTCATTTAATTATATTTAAATAGAAAGGAAGTTTGACCAATAAATGGCGATAGTATCTTTCTGTAAGTAAAAAATTCAAATCTAACAACCAATGAATAAGTGATAGCGGATCGTCGAATAATAAAAATGAAAGAATAAATTTTGATAAATTTAAAAAGTTTAATAATTTTTTTAACGTAAACAAATTCTTTCACCCAAAATATGCTACCTTTAATTTACCATTAATTTTTTGTAAATTTTGGAAAATTCAAAAAATTGCAGTTCTCGAAGTCAAACAAACTATTTTTCTAATCATACCTTTCCCAAACGTTACTATTTTGATTTATCATAACATTTCGTCTTTTTATTTGACAGAATAAAAGTTAAAAAAAGTATAAAAATTATATCTTAACGTAGATTATTTGTTAAATTTGCATAGTTTAACATTTCCGCCTTTGTCCTTTATGGTGATTATTTCCGATACTGGATGGTATCATAAACTTTTTTTTTGAATAAAGTAATATATAATGGCTTTTGTTTTTTCGGTATTTCTTTCGTTCGAGAGATGTCGCATCAATTATGGCTCAATCATTGTTACGATCGATTGATTTGTCATGGAGAGAGGGCAGTGAAAAGTGACCCTTTGATTACCGTAACCTTCAAATGTCTTACATTAATGAATAAGTTATTTTATCAACAAAACTGTCTGACTATTCATACAATTATTTTCAGTTTTGACGGTTAGTAAGCCATGTTGTCATCACACTTTCATCGAGACATCTGAAAAATTGATCTCGATTCTGATAGCATTAATCATCCATTAGCAATTCTTACTGTGTGAGGTAGGCTCTGATTTTGGTTATTAAATTTGATCACTTTAATGTTAAATCTGATTCATATTGCTTACCTAGCAAATTAATCATACATACGACCAATGCAGCATTAAATCAAATATTAGATTGGGAAATTCTGACAAAATTTTACAATTTTGAAACAGATTTTTCGAAAATTAAGTAAGTTTTTTGAAGTAGAAAAAAGAGAAATTAAATACTACATGCAACCAGTTTTGACAGAAAAATTATTTGTTAAAACTTAAGTAACTATTAAACTATGACAAACAAGGAAAAACTGCTATGCAAAATATCCGAAATTTCTTTTTTTTTCTATTTTTAAAAATTTTTTCAATTTCAACAAATTATTATTAAATGCAATTTCTTCAGAACTTTTATTTCACTTATGTATTTTAGGTTAGATAAAGTTTAGCACCATTATAAGTTGCTGTTTCAGAATGACTTTAGAATATTTAGAAGTGACAATTGGAAATTTCATCACTTCAAATGGCAAATATCGTTCCAATGATATGTAAACAAAAGATTACCCATTGTTGCGAACCTTTTTGTTTAGTATCAATTAAACTATACACCATGAAATTTTATATTTTCCTCAAACTAAAAATTTACTCCGAATTTTTTAATCTTCGCTGCAGTTATTTTAAAATTCCATTGCATTTCTAGATGAACAAAAAGGAAAAAAAAATGAAAAATCGAATATGACAGATAATAATGATGATTGATTACTCTGATTAATGAGACCCTCATAATAACCACCCATCTCGAAGATTCGTTGTCCCACTGCAACAGATGCATTTCACCATATGCTTCATCATGATAATTCAATGTCACTCTTTGTCATTTGAAAAAAAAACACCGCTATTCGGAAAGATGCGGGGGATTCCACTGTGATCTTTAAGCATCTTCAAGAAGTACTAACAAACATCTGTTCAAACTTCATCGTTAAAAGAAAAGAACTGCGCATTCCTGACTTTGTTTTTTTTTTTTTTTTTACTGCAAATTCCTAATCATATATTTTTCACGTTTACCAAAATATAAGCTTTTTTTTCTCTTTTAATACGATAACTCAGAAGAAAAAACAACAGCGGTTAATACAATACAAAAGAAGATTGGAATACAACCTGATTCATGTAAACTGAAAAAGAAACCGAACTAGACATAAACACAAAAGAGTTTTACCAACAATGAAACAGTCAGTCAAAAGATTGGCGACAAAGGTAACTTTGGAGGCATTTGTTTTCTGGAAAAGAATAATTAAAATCATACATAAAAGCACTGGTAATGAGAATTCAAGTTGCAAAACAAAACAAAAGGTAAATAAAGTAGGAAAAATTTTAGGTTCAATTGTCATGTGTTTTATATTTTTCATTGTCAATCTGTTATGAGAATAAAAGCTACGATATAGCTCCGAATTTTTCCAAAAATTCTCCGAAACTTTTTACAAAAGTTGTGAAATCGTTTTGAAAACAATAAGAAAATTGAATCACCAAAGAAATTAAAGGCAATGATTTCATGGCCAGCATGTAAATCACTTTGAAAAAATTATGCATAGCACTGTAAACTTTTAAAAAATCCTCTTCCCTTCCCGCTTATACTAATACAATTATGTTAGCTAATCCTCAGATGACAAACATCTATGATAATTACTTTGTGATAATCAAAGGATTACGCAAAATAATTAAATAGTCAGAAGAAACCTGGGGAAAACAACAAATTTCCTGTAAAACGAATGAAAAAAGGGAAACAATTAAAATGAAATATAAGAGAAAAACTTATGAATTGAATCGACAATACACAAGGAATGTTGTTTCGTTAGTAAATTGAATAAAATTGAGTGCTAAAAACTGATAAATCTCATGAGTTGAAATTTGCATCTTCACATTAAAATCATATTAATACTCTCGAAAAAAGGCTTCTTTTTCTAAGTCACAAAAAATGGTAACCTAAAATTTGGCCAAACATTTTCTAAAATTCAAAACAAATTTGATTTGCAATTGTCGAAATTTGCCCAACAAATAATCGCGAAAATTTGCAGCCTTTTTCTCATTAAATTGAAAAAATCAAGCAATCCAAAAATTTCCTAATGTTTTTGTGTGAATAAAATCTCCTCACTTGTTTTGTTCATATCGAAAACAATAATAAAACTAACAAACAAAAACAAATCGTAAAATGTAATGCTATTATGCATAATAATACGGCACCCAAAATTGCACTTCCGTGACTTAAAACCAAAAATGGAGCCACTCAAAATTTATCCTTATCAATTGCTTCTAACTGATCCATATCGCTTGCATCTAACGGTTCAATCGCCACGCCTATAATTGATTTAATAGAAGACAATCATTCCAACCACTTACTGCTGATAAAAAAGATCTCATTCTGTCTAAGGGCGGACTAAAGCATGATTCAATGAAAATAAATAGTCTTTATATTTCAAAAATCATTGCTGCTTATAAACTGATCAACAAAAAAAATGGACATAAATCTAATACATTATAAATCAAGCTAGTTTATTCTCAGGTTTCTAAAAAAGCGCTAAATTTTCGAAAGTCTGTGTACACTTCCTGAATCCATAAATTCTTGCTTTGGAATTATCTAGAAACATTCTTTTGTATAATAGTCTGAATATTTATATCAGTAAACTGAACTCTCGATTTTCAAATCATTAAAAACAATATCAACATACGATGATAGTCGTGGAAAAAAGATTTGAAAATGAACTACCAAAGTAATCGCCAATTCGTTGAATAACACTCAGTGAGAAATCATCAGAAACCAAATTAATCGCTATTCCTGCTTTACCAAATCTTCCTGTTCTGCCAATTCGATGGATATAAGTTTCGTAGTCTGGTTGTGGATCATTAGCATAAGTCACTGGTGGATCATAATTTATAACAACTGACACCTGAGAAACATCAATACCTGAAAGACAGCAAAATAAATGGTTATATTAATAAAATTGTTTTGCCTTGCCTAAATTACTCAGCCGGCATTCTATTAAAGTTAGAATTAACAAAATAATCAATTCCAGATTTGCAAGAAAAGCGGTCTTAAGTAACAATTAAAGAAATCTTTAGTGATTTTTTTTGAATTTCCGAAGTTTCAATATCTTTGAATATACTACTGCCATAACAATCAATGCAAAAAGAGTCATATTATTTGTTCATTGGAAAGTGAAAATATAATAAGAATATTCTGCCAGATCTTACTATTTGATATTGTTATTTGATAACAGGGAGATAGCTGGCAGGGTTTTTATTTCATTACATTATATGAGTTAAAGACATTAAAACTTTATTTTCATATACGACAAACATTGAGGTATTTGCTTTAACTCAAATGTAAATTAAACAACTTACTGAAGAGACAAATGCAAATTGAATTACCGGAGTAATAAAAATAAGTTAGAAACGAAGAAAATACCTCTTGCACAAACATTGGTTGTGATAAGCACTTTGTAAACACTGTCTTTGAACTGTTCAATAGTTCGGGCTCGATCTTCTATTGTCATTTCACCGTGCAGTACTGTAACATCATGACCTCGCTGTCCCATCCTCACAGCTAACCATTCAGCTGATTTACGCGTCTGCAAAATTCGAAATTCTCCAATTCAGTAAATATAAATTGAAAAAACATCCTTTCCTGTGTGACAAACAGAATCAATTCTCTAATTAATGACCCTTTTTTCCTACCTTTCCTTCCACTCCTTTCCTTTCGCTCTTTGATTTCCTAAATATACTATCTGTTTTCCTTAAATTAAAATGACACGATTATTTCTGAGAAGAAATAAAAATAAATTCAAAATTATGGATAGCTTAAAATAACTTACATAACAAAAAATAATAGCTGAAGCAATTGTTAAACCTCCGTATAAATTCATCACAGCTTCATATTTCTCTTCTCTATTAGCACATTTCACATAATATTGTTTGATATTTTTCAGTGTTTGCTCATCTCTGCGCAAACTGAAAGAAATTTAAGATAATTTGTTTTTATATTCTTTTATAAAAAAAAGGAGAAACAACTATCTTTTCTTCGACCACAAAGCGGATAATCTAATAAAGAAAAACACGTTTTCAATCAGTAAATTTTATACATTTAAAATTAAGATGCAAAAAAACCAATTATTCAACTAAAAAATGTCAACCAGAACTTAATAATTGACATCTTTCAACTTTACAAATTATTTCATCTCTGCTAATGTCTTGAGCAAAATATCATTCCAAATAAGCATATTTTTTCTATCGCAAAGTGTGGAATAGATATCCAAAAACAACTGCATGATAGATATAAGATACTAAAGTAGTCGGTAGGGTAACGTGAAATAATGCGTATCATCAATTTGCGTAATTCGCAGGAAATGAATAGAAAATTATTGTAAGAGAAAATAAATGAACGGTTGTAACATTTCGCAGTACTCAAAATAATATGGACAAAGAAAAAAACGGATCTGATGTCGTTGGAAAGCATACGTTGCATTAATTTGCAAGATTATACATGAATAAAACTACTGAGAAATGTTATAAAGCATTTCTATCTTATATGTTTTTTAAACAATTTTTCTAAATGATTATGCAAAAATATTAGTATAAAGCTAATGATTGCATGCTCTATCATTCTAAAATATATCCTATATATCTTTTAATGTTAACTTTTCAATCCACTTCTGCAATTCAGAACCTGGCTGGATACAAGATTATCAAATAAAGCTGAAATGTGACAGACTATAAAGCAAATAGAATTAATAAACTATCGTGCGTACAACGTAAATATTATTTCATTTGTCAGCTATTGCTAATAAAATAACCATTTGTAAAAAATAATCTGCATTATCAAAACTTTCTCTCAACTAATTTTGTAATATCTTATTGAAATTCCTCCATCCATTAATTAAAAACTAAAAACACTCTTATTTAATTTTCTCAACACTGTGACGTGTGAGAAATATGATACTACCAAACAGATCCAAAATCTTTCTACTTTTCTGAACAGATGTTGCCATTAACACCTGAGCTCTCCTCACTCCCAAAATAAACATGGTAAGCGGTCAACGATCAGATGAATGGTACTTTCATTACAACTACCTACTGTGATCTGAACTTTAGTTTATTATTTGCATAAAAAAATATATTTTTGATAGAAGGGACTGATGAGAAAAAATATTCAGTGATTAGTTAATTTGCAAACCTCACTGCATAATGCCGCACTTTAACTTTAACATTTATATCAATAAAAGTTTCAATTTTATTTTTTAAAAAATATCAACATAGAAGTAAGAGACAGTCAGTCACATTCATTTATAAGCTATTTTAGTCAGTCCTTTCACCAGTCGCAATTTAAACTGATTTATAGATTATTCTCAGTACAGCAGGCTGCAATCTATTTTTAATTAGCACAACAGTGTTTCGAAACAAAACTAACAGTAAACTGAGCATATCTGACAGTAACTTCCAGGTTATGTAAGATTTTAAAGAAACATGCTAACTATACAACAATCCCAAAAAAAGTCTATAAAATCAAGCTTAAGCATGCTAAAAAATATAGATTTTTAAAACTTTGCCCAACTAGCATTCTTAGAGATCGTGATTTGAAATTTTTTCTATCTTCCTCTTATGATGAAAATTTATATTTTCGTATTTATTATTGTACTAAGCTTTTTCCATTTTCCTAATAAAATCACTTACAAAATATGACCTTTTAATAAACACCATAATTTGCACCATCACAAAGCCGGAAAACTATTGCGCAATTCGCAGAAAAGCTGCTCGCCACTTTCAACAATCAGGTGGTTATTATGCTATCTTACCCCATCTTTTATCCTCTTTCTGTGAAATTAAATGCCTAACCTATTTTACTCGTTACAACACTTATTATTTGAAAGAAGAGTGGATTAACCTTTAAGGGAAAAGAAAAAATGTTTTCAATAACCAATTTGGAATATTAAAACTTGGTAAAAAACAAAATATGCAGAAAATTAGAAATTGGTCGAAAGCAGTTGTGAAAGTTCACATCTAATGCATGAATATATTTTTACATATGGGATGAATCATTAAATCTATAGCAGAAAATCCACCTCTTGTTTCCCTTTTCTCCTTGCCTCCTTTATTCATTTTCTCAGGACTTTTTTTTCTCAATATTTGTAATTCTTGTTACTTTATTACAGATTTTTAGAAAAATTTAGCAATAAAATATTACGTGATGTTGACGGCATCCTTGATAATGGAATCTGCAAATGATCGAACAGTTTCATCATATGTAGCACTGAACAGCAGACTTTGATATTTCGCTCCTGATCTCTCCAATTCACTAAAAGAAACTTGAAATATACAAATAAACCATAAAGAAACCACCAAGAAATGAAAAAGTTTGAAACTGACATTCAAAATAAGCTGTAATAAATTTGAAATTTGAAACCATCTATGTTTTCAGCGCACTACTCAATATATTACCATAATTTGATTGTATGTCAAATACAGCTATCCAAGACTTACCGCCTAAACCTGAACCTACTTCTGACATATCGAGTATACCAACTTATCAGTCGTAAATTTTTCTCCATTTTAACTACGTTTATTCAAGTATATTCCATTTTCCAAAAAACAAATATACTTTATTCTAAATTTCCAAAAAACAAACAACAAACATACTTATGTAGTCGAATACTCTGATCCTGATGGCCTTGCTGTGAGATCATAACGTCGGCCTCATCTAATACTAAGCAAATTATTTTAGATGGGTCGATCACTTTCAGTTTTGTCACCCAATCCAACATTTTACCTGGTGTCCCAATTATTATCTGTTCTTCGATTTTTTCACCACGCGACACTGAAAGGAAACGAAGAAAAATTTTTGTTTGTAAATTCTTATTCCTAATAGCAGGATATATTCTCGATTCATCTGTTTTTTAAGAATTAATATATTAATGCAGAAATCATTGAAAGATTCGGTACTAATCTATTGAGATCTAAACGAGAAGCCTACATTCATGCAGCACAAATTTTCTAAGGACTGTTAAATTTCGCACCGTAATTTCGCACGCCATTCGCACCGTCACTCTTTCGAATATTTTTTCAGCTATTAAAGACATGAAAAAAACAAAAAAACTGTCAAAAATTCCATTCGCATTTGAAATTATTAAAAAACAACTCACTCGCACTATTTTTCATTATCATGCTAAGGCTGCCATTTAGAAAAAATCATGGAGCAGCAGACAACTTTTAAAAAAACCGAAGTTTTTAATAAACATTTGGCGACAAACAATGATAGATTAAAAACTAAGAAAAGCAAAAATAAAAAAACTACTAAAGCAAAAACTACAAAAGAAATTGAAAGATCAGTCAAAAAAATTATATAAAATACACTACATTCAAAACAAAACAAAAATTTTTAAAGTAGCGAAAACATAACTTAATTATAAACAAAAGAGATAAAAGCACCATTAATTTCGTAAAAACAAATCTTAATTTCTATTTTTTTCTTAACTTCTATTTTTCATATATATTTAAATTTTATTATTCATAAAAAATCCTTTTCCAGAAGATCAAGGACCAAGAAGCAGAATATCACAGATGAATGATGAAACAAAAATGGATACTGACAAGATTTTTGTTTTGTGAACCTTGTGCACCGGATAGAGAAATGTATTAGATTTTACGCAGTAATTTTGAAATATCAATCGTTTAATTTTTTTTTTGTATAAAAAGCATTTATGATAAAAAAGGAAAAAGTTACTTCGTTCACCCTTAACTGCGTAGCGAATTTCAATATCCGGCAAAAACTCGCCCATTTTCTTGACGACTTGGCCGATCTGCATAGCCAGCTCATAAGTAGGTGCGAGGCATAAACATTGAGGCCATTTATTTGATGGAACAACACGTGACAACATTGTAAGTACGAAAGTCGCTGTTTTACCAGTACCACTTTGTGCTTGTGCTATCAAATTCATTGGTCTTGAAAAAAATTTGAAATTTTCAATAAATGACAAAACAAAAAGTTAAGTAATTATTAAAACTATCATATTTAATATTTAACAGTGTCATTCAGCTGACTAATTGTGGATGATTGGTGTGATCTGTTAATTCCACTAAATTCAATGTAACAAAAAAATATGAGTAATAAAAGAATAAATTCACATACGGTTCAATTAGAATTAAAGGCAATGCGGCTTCCTGAATTTTTGATGGCATATAGAAACTCATTTTGTCTAAAGCCTTTAAAAGTTCATCCTTCCTGCAAATGTTGGAATATTAATATATTAATGAAAATCAACGAAACGAAAATTAAAACGTATCAACGATTCCAATTTCTTGATGTGATCCTACAAAAAGCAATGTTCACTACTGCCACTGAATTTTCTAATTCCGCGAAATGAATAAGAATGTATTCAACCTTAAATATGATTTCATATTTAAGTGATCGTATTCACAGAACTATGTGCCCACATCATTTTGGATTATGAACAAAAACTCACAAGCGTAAACTCTGGAACGAAGTAACCGAATACAATGGTGAATTCGGATCACTTCGAGCTTGTGAAATTTCTAAACTACCATTTTGTAGATTCTCCAGCTTTTTATGTAATATTTTGTTTAGTAGCGATATTTCTTCGCTTGGCATAGCTGAAAAACTAAATTGTAAACATAACTTCAATTGAATTTCAAAAACTTGCCATCAGTTCATTGTGCTAACTGACACTCCTCATGATTTTGTCAAGACTGATTCAGCAAATGCATAAACTATTAGTCTTTGTAATTAATTATCACGAAGATCAATTAAAATACTTAATGCACCTCATCTTTTGATAGTAGTGCAACTTTACATTAAGTGATTTCTAGATGATTTTCTTCGAATGAATTCAGTTCAATCTACCTCCAGAATAGTAAAGGTAATGAACCCGAAATTTTTTGTATTTCATTCTGCTGCATGCTGAAAAATAGCAGTCAATTTATTTTTTTTGCAAAACTTACGTTTTTCATATTCATCTTTCGGAAAAGATCCATCACTACCATATTCGGAAGCTTCCTCGTCAACATTCATCATTGCTTTGCGCTAAATACTTCGATATTTCAAACTAGTTTTTTTTTAGAAATTATGAAAATATCCAAAATAAAAATCAATAAGCAGTGGTAAATAAAAGTGTCCAGAAGCACTCAATCAATGATGCTAATATCATAACGTCTTTCTGAATCACCAAATAAAGTATTTAATGATTTGCAGTAAAAAAAACGGTACCTGTGATGGTGAATTAGAAAAAGGTGGCACACTGTTAGGATCTGAAAAAAATTTTCTTATATTTTACAATCTTATCAAAAATTGACATAAAAAATTTCGAAATCATAAAAGAAAAACAAATTATGAATAATACTTGAAAGGTGAGAGATTTTATCAACATTATTTACCAGTTCTTCAAAAAAAAAGACTGATGCAAAATTATTCTTACTTCTTCCAATTTGTTTGTCGTTGCAAAGACCTCGTCCATATAGCGGCCGACCATTTCCTGGAAGCATGAAACCACCAAATTTTGGAGTTGCATTGCTCAATGGATCTATAAAATTTATGGCATATAAAAGGTTAACATTGAAGAAAAAAGTAGTATGAAGCGCTGATATTCGTGATACTCAATAATATGTTTTACACTCTTTTTTCGAATTTGTTATTTGTGTTGTTACGAAATTACTGGATTACTGACTGCGCTCACTTTTAAAAGAAACAAAATAAAGCAAATTGATCATAGGTGTAATGAAACATTATGAAGTTACCTACATATAACCAACATAATTTTAAGAAACTTGGAAAGACTCTTCCATAAAAAATGCTGCTCGTACTATTTTACTCTATAATATCAATTTTAATAATAAAAAATACTTGTTGCTGTTTTCATAGGAACAAATGGAGATGAGCGATAAGCAGCCAGTTTCCAAAAATTTCTCTCGCGTTCTTCCAAGCATGATGTATGCGCTGCTTAAAAATGAATGAATTATTCCTTTTCAACTGATTTAAACAAAAAAAAGAAGCAGTCTTATGCAAGTGAAATCGATTTTTGGCATTTATTTTACAACATATAGCAGGCAAATAATCACATATTGGCAATTTTTTTTTTGATTTATCTCAGCTGAATTTACAAGACCATTTGATGCCTATTGATTACTATAGACACAAAGAGAATAATATTCTAAGACTTAAAAATAAATCTGATGTCTCAAAATGTAAAACCAAAAATTTTTTTTTGAAATTATGTCGTTTTTATGAAACCTATAACACATTAATGAATGAGTTAGAGCAACATGTGAAAAGTATTGGAATTAACTTGATATGAATTAAGATGATAGTATAATTTCTGAATATCAGGAAATGTATGATGCTGGTAAAAAAATTCTAATTTATTTTACATTTATCTCATACAGAAGTTTGAAAACAATCAATAGTTAACCTGATGATTTTTCAGCCTGAATGGATTGCTGCATTCGAACATTTCCAGTATTACCACTGAAGCTTCCGTTCTTTGGAAACGGTCGAAACATTGAGAATGAGCTGTTTTCAGCTTTCAAATCTTTTTGTTTTAACCCTGAACCTTCTTCATCTTCCGATCTATTTCGTCTGTTTATACATCTTTCATTATTATTGCTGAACTGTGGCGAGTGAGAAGAATCTGACAAATCAACAGCGCTAGTTGGTGGAGCGAAATGACCCATACTGTTTGACTGATTCGAATTTGCTGCAAGCAGATTTCGTCTAGAAAAACCACTGCTTGTGTCAAATTTTGCAGCATCTGTTCGGAATCTAAAACTTCCGTCACTGCCGGATGGATCAGCTGGTTTAGTTGATCGAATTCCACCACCAAACGTACTTCCGACTCCTCGTTGAGCTAAACCTTAAAAAAGAAATTCGTGGCGTCAAATAATGGGTTACAAATGCTGAGCGGAAACAATAAATCACAATTTGAATATGTGGAGAAACTAAAAACACAACGAAATTTTAATCTAAATTTGATTCGATACACAACAAAAAGAAAACTCATGACATAATTTTAAGCAAAAAAAAAAGAAATTTGTAGCGTCAAATATTGGGTTACAAGTGCTGAGCTGGAAATAAATTGTGTCTAATTAATATGATAAACCGAAGATTGCCGAGTAGATCCAAACTATGTCAGTCAGTCCATGAAAAAGCTTTTGGCTCAATTGCTTACACTAGAAAAGAACCTACTTCCGAATGAATTCCTTGAAGCTGGATTAAACGGCATCCCACGATTACTGTTGTTATAATTGCCATCAATGACTCTTCCACGCCGGTTGTTCCCGTCGTGTAGATCGTCTCGCAAGTTCGAATTACCACCAAATGTGCTTTCACCAAACACTTTTGGTGCTGCAAAACAATAGTGTTTGCTTGAATCCGTAGTACACAGTCAGCTGAGTTATTTGTGGGACTTAAAAGACTGACTCAAAAAATTATAAGAAAACTAGATGGAAAATAAAAAAATTTTGATTCGCAGAACTAATGTTCGTTGTGCTGATAACTGTTGGTGGTAAAATTCAATGTATGAAGTCATTTAATATCAGATTTCAATAATCGATGGTGATCTTTTTATCACTCAATAAAGAAATCAGGAATGAAAAGGCTTATGTATGTTTACATTTGTTTTACAAAATTCTAAGATCAGTAATTAAGCAAATTCCAAAAGTAGTATGAAGTATGACGGGAAAACAATGATTAACAAAATTAAAATAAGTACATGGATTAATAACGAAAAGAAACCTATGAAAAGCAAGAAAAAGAAGTTGCTGAGGAGAGAAAGAAGAGGAATGGATTTATTATATATATACGTCTAGAATGCACCAACTGTAAATACAAACTGTTTACTCAGCTAAATAAATACTAACAAGCAAAGACATATAGAGAGCTGGTTTTAAAACTAATACTTCCAATTGAATTTTCTAGGTTAATTTCATTATTTATACCCAATAAATGGCATTATTATTGTTTACGTATCAGAATTTTTTTCTAATATTGTCGTGATTTCACTTTTTTTTAAATTTCACTCCAGGATTCTATTTTTAATAATGAAATTGCATCAACCATATAAATTCCTGAATTAGCCATTACGAAAAAAAGTTCTCCAATGTCTCACAGAAATAGTGAAATACGAAATAATAATTAGTAAATTATAATCTATTAATATTACCCTTTCATAAATCTTAAAAATATACTATTGACCTATAAAAATAGCTCCAAACTATTCTAAAAAAAACATAATAAGAGCTTCGTACTTTTCTGTCCGTTTTTAAAAAAAAAATTATTTTGCAACATAAATATTTCTCCCGAATGGTACCTGAAAATCCGCCAAACGGTTGCCGTTCACTGCCGCTATCACCGCTGCTCACCGCTGATTTGTCATCCAGTGATAAGGCTTTTGATTTATCATTTAATGATAAGGCTTTTGTCTAAAATAAGTATATAAGATTTTTTAGCACCTGTTAATTAGCTACGCTGACTGTCACAACTGCAAGTATTCAGATAACTGAAGCATTTGCTAAGAATACCGATCTACTGGTCTACCATACCGAGGCATTTCTAAAACTATCCTTAACTTGTTACTAGTAGATTTATAAATCTTCATCGTTCTTTTCTGCTCAGATATATTCAATACTTTGACCTCACATCTAATATTATATGTATTAGATATTCAATATTCAACATTCTAAATTACTTTTCCTTCTGTTGGAACTTGAGAGCTTCATTTTTAAAAAAAAGATTGTAAATGCTTCACAATATTCTTCACAGTCAGACAAATTTCTCAAATACATTGAATACATATATCAAATGGACCAACACATCTGAACATATTAAATTGATATCTCAAACAACCCTCCATATTAAATCTACCAATACAAAATATTATCAGCAAAATAATTACAAATTCCAAAAACTGATAAAAACTTAAAAACTGAGGATTTTTTTAACACAATATTTTTCCTATTTTTCACAAAATTTCTTTTCAAACGGAGAATTTTCTAATTTGTCGATGCAAGACATTTATTGTTTTCAAAATTGTAAATTATCTATTCTTAAAGCCCAGTCAAATTTGAGAGAGGATCAAATTCCAAACCCTTTCAATAACACTTCGACGATTCTTTAGGTGACCTTCTGGAAGTGCCCATGGATCATCAGAACTGTTTGTTCCCGCCATTCACCTGCAATGATGGCACGCTATGAATTTTGGTATATCACAAATTTTTACACAGACAAAATGAGTATTTTATTTTCCTGAGAAAGAATGAAATGGCATCGAATAATAAAAATGCGAATGGAAATTACAGAATTTTCCGAATATTCGGAAAAGTATAAGTATTTGCGTTTAGTCTACTATGGTGCTATCAGTAAACAAAACAACAATTTTCCAATTCCAACAAATTAAAAAAAAAAGCGCAAACGGTTATTTCAAAAGCAATTTAAATTTAAAGCTTTTTAAAAAAGTTGCATCAAAATTTTATCCAAGGAAATTTTTTAGATAAATTTAATTAAAAAGAATCAAAATTTCATAAGTAAAGCAAATTAGATAAATACGGTTTCTGTCTTCTTGAATAATTGATAATTCCTGTAGAGCAAGAATCGTTCGAAAAGAAAAAAAGAAATGCGCGATGAAGAGATCAACACGTCAGCAGTTGCCGATTCTTCCGGTAATTAATGATTACAAAATGCACCGTGACCACATGCAAATTTCGGATATAAGACATTGACCTCCTGTTACAGCACAAAAAATGTCTATAATTTTTTAAATTACTCGGGGTATCGCGATGTTTATACATAAATGAGCCCAGCAATAACAATCCGATATAATAGTAATTTTGTCTTAAATAATAAAATTAATTGAAGTGATGTACTAATTTTGCGCAAATTACATTTTGCATTGTTGTTCCTTTTGTAAAATTTGCATATCTTAGGAAAATCATAAATTACATATGAATGGAAGTTTATTT